TATATATATATATATATATATATATATATATATATATAATTTATTTAATTATTTTTTAAGTGGAAACAACAAGTCTGGAAATATAACAAACTTCTAGGACAATTATACCTCCCAGCAAAATCAGGCTCATTTCTTCACTGTAGAAAATGTTCAGTAGATGAAATAAACACCCCTCCCTGGGCTACCACCTTACCGTGGTCGAGGGGTTTGAGTGTCCCAATGATCCTAGGAGCTATGCTGTCAGGGGCTTCAGGCCCCTAGTAGGGTCACCCAAGGCAGACAGAACCTAGGTGAGGACCCAGACAAAGTGTAGCCCAAAGATGAGCAAAATGAATGGAAATAATTTTCCCTCGCTCGAAAGTGGGTCACTGGGGCCCCACTCTGGAGCCAGGCCTGGCACAGCACTAAGAGGAGACGTGGGTCCCCCTTCCCATGGGCTCACCACCTGTGGGAGGGGCCAAATGGGTCGGGTGTAACGTGGGATGGGTGGTGGCCGAGGGTGGGGACCCTGGCGGTCTGATCCTCGGCTACAGAAGCTGGCTATTGGGATGTGGAATGTCATCTCTCTGGTGGGGAAGGAGCCTGAGCTGATGTGTGAGGTTGAGAGGTACCGGCTAGAAATAGTCGGACTCACCTCTACGCATGGCTCTGGCTCTGGAACCAGTTTCCTTGAGAGGGGCTGGACACTCTTCCACTCTGGAGTTGCGCCTGGTGAGAGGCGCCGAGCAGGAGTGGGCATACTTATTGCCCCCCAACTTGGTGCCTGTACGTTGGGGTCCAGCAGGGTCCTGGAGGGTGCGTGGGAGTTTGCCCAACCAGTCTACATGTGCTTTGTGGAGTTGGAGAAGGCGTTCAACTGTATCCCTCGAGGAACCCTGTGAGAGGTATTCCGGGAGTATGGGGTACCAGGCCCTTTGATACGGGCTTTTAGGTCCCTGTATGACCGGTGTCAGAGCCTGGTCCGCATTACTGACAGTAAGTCAGGCTCATTCCCAGTGAAAGTTGGACTCAGTCAAGGTTGCCCTTTGTCACCGATTCTGTTCATAACTTTTATGGACAGAATTTCTAGGCGCAGCCAAGGTGTTGAGGGGATCTGTTTTGGTGGCCTTAGAATCACATCTCTGCTTTTTGCAGATGAAGTGGTCCTATTGGCTTCATCAGATCATGATCTACAACTTTCGCTGGAGCGGTTTGCAGCTGAGTGTGACGTGGCCGGGATGAGAATCAGTTCCTCCAAATCCGAGGCCATGGTCTTGAGCTGGAAAAGTGTAGATTGTCCTCTCTAGGTCAGGGAGGAAGTCCTGCCCCAAGTGGAGGAGTTTAAGTATCTCAGGGTCTTGTTCACGAATGAGGGAAAAATGGAGCGAGAGATCAATAGGCAGATAGGTGCAGCATCGGCAGTGAAGCAGGCACTGTATTGGTCTGTCGTGGTGAAGACGGAGCTGAGTCAAAAGGCGAAGCTCTCAATTTACTGGTCGATCTACGTTCCTACCCTCATCTATGGTCATGAGCTTTGGGTTGTGACCGAAAGAACAAGATCTCGGATACAGACGGCCAAAATGATTTTTTTCCGCAGGGTGTCTGGGCTCTCCCTTAGAGATAGGGTGAGAAGTTCGGTCATCCAGGAGGGACTCAGAGTAGAGCCGCTGCTTCTCCACATCGAGAGTAGCCAGTTGAGGTGGCTCGGGCATCTGGTTAGGAAGCACGCTAGACGCCTCCCTGGTGAGGTGTTCCGGACACGTCCCACTGGGAGGAGACCCAGAGGAAGACCCAGGACACGCTGGAGGGACTACATTTCTCGGCTGGACTGGGAATACTTTGGGATTCCCCCGGAGGAGCTGGCCCAAGTGGCTGGAGAGAGGGAAGTCTGGGCCTCCCTACTTAGGCTGCTACCCCCACGACCAGACCCCAGATAAGCAGAAGAAAATGGATGGATGGACAGATGGATGGATGGATGGATGGATGGATGGATGGATTGATGGATAAAACAAACAAACTGTCTCATCATAAAAACTACGTACCTCATCTGACATCAGGGTAGCGATGGCTCGTCCAACCTCACGGTAAGACTTTGATTTTCCTTTAGGACCCAACAGCACAAAAAGAAACCTAAACAACCAACAGATGATGAGAAGTAGTCAGATTTATTTTTTACAGGTACGTTCAAAAGTTATTTTTAGAGTCCGTAACAGGAAGGTGGGTTTTTTGCAGCCGAGTACCTTGTGGGCACAGGAACTTCAGTGAGCGCCCCCAGCATGACGGCCTGCTGCAGACGAACAAACGCAACACAGGGGGTTTCCAGGAAGTCCACCTCTCCAACAAGGACGTTGGATGCCTCGGCATCGCGGGGCAACTTTTTCATGAACTTATTCTTCAGCTGTTTAGAGAAAAATAAAGTGTTTTGACTCTTCATTAACTTGTAGACACAGGTAGTGCCTGCCCTTTCCTTCAATTATTTAGCAAAAGCAGCTTGACTTTATGCCATCTATTGAACACTTTACTGCAGCATGTATGCAAAGTGTACAATCAATGAAGATGGCAAAAAACCAGACACAAACAACTGTTGGGTGTAACAGGCTGGTGTATTCCAACCACTGAAATAATGTAGACATTGTGCAAGGGTAAACCTTGGCTCACAGCAGTTACTTAGAAGATTCTTTGATACACTGACCCCTCCTAAAAGGTTGATTCAAACCACTCCCAATGGCAACAACAATTACTCATTATAGGACAATAATAGAAGCAGGTATAATGAAAGAAGACATGATCAGAACAGCTCAATGAACAGGATGCCCTGAAGTTCGTGGGTTCATTTAGTTCATCAGGACAATATTTAAAAAGTGGCTTTGATGTTAAAGACTATAGGTAAAAACTTTTGATTTGAAGAAAATTCACTTGCAAATAAATGATTAACTAACGTGTTGATCTAAAACACAAAAGATTGGATCTTTGACAATCCTACAGTTTTTGTAAGACATATTCTGGTGATTTTTCAAGTGATGTTTTGTCAAGTAATTATTAATAGTTAGTACCAAGTCAGCCATGACGTCGGTCGTAGAGCACAGAGAAGTGAAAAAGACACAAAAGTCTGTCTAATCTAGGCTAATCTAGCCAAACGAGTAAAAGTTTTTCAGAATTGTTTTCAGGGTTATAAAACAACTTTCATCAAAACTGACACACCAGTGTGTGATATTCCTATTATTGAACTTTTATTTTATTTTGCACATTTGCACAACACTGGTTACAAAGAATGTGACGAACTAAACAGACAATGTCCGTGCCATTGTGCAAATATGTGCTGCAGACCTTCATGTGCTGATGATGCTGAGGTTTGTAAGGTTGGACGATTGAAGATGCTGCTGAATGTTTCACATTTCTTCAGCTGAACATTGTTCAGTTGAGAAAAACAGCTACAAACTCAATAGTGTTGTGTAGAGCAGGGCTTCAAAACCAAAAAAGTCCATGCTCAATAATCCAGGTATACAATCCAACCTTTTTCTGTCAAGTCCTCTGGACAGTTTCTTTTTTTGATGAAGCCTTCTGGATGGAAGGTGAAACGTTTCAACACAAAAAAGAAACTGTCCAGAGGACCTGACTGAAAAATGTTGGAGTGTTAATACAACTTTTATACTTTTAATCATGGGCTATTTTTCATTCAAGACCAAATTAATTAACAAAAATTTTATTTTATTTTCCAAAAATTACAGTTTTGAGAAAATTAACAGAATCAAAAGCACTTGAACAAACTTTACCTATTCACTTAATGAACATAAATGTTTCGTCACTTTTTCAAATTATTACAGAAAACTCTTTCCATAAACCCGACCAGAATCAGAACAGCAGTAGTCAGACCAAGTAACTGAGACGACTTGTGTTGTGACTTGGTGCTATCTAAATAAACTGAAATTGAATTAAGTCTGAAAAAGAATATAAAACAGGTCCTTAGTGGGCTGGCCGTTAGCTTAGCCTGGACAAAGACTTCTGCCTTTATCTCTCTTTGCGTGCTCTAGTCTGATATCATCACTGATACTGGACTAACTATAGATAACCATTTGACAGAACACCAATTTTAAAATGGCCAGACCATTCTCTGAAATGCTGTTACAGTTTAACTGCGTAGTTGTTATCTCATGCAGTCTGTCACCACTTCAGCGTCCAGTCACTCCATCTCGAGTCGTGACACTGAAAGAGACAGCTCGCCAACATTCAACAAGAGAAACTCACACAACGAAAACAGAGAGCTTTTGTTGCTTCAGGCAGAAAAAAAATGCACGAGTTTCACACGCACAAGCCAACAGGTGATCCTGCTTTGTGCGCAGAGACCACAGCAGTGTCCCTGTAATATAAAGGAACCATTGACACACTACCTGGTCCTTCTCTGGTTTGTCAGGGAAATCACACAGGCTGTTGGAAGTCAGGTTCCGGTGAGCCGTAGTTGGACTCCCTGCACAGAGGAGATAAGCTGTTTGAATCAAAGAGCAAGTCAGACTTATTTCTGAAAGGAAAGGTGAGTATGGTAAAAGAAACGACACTAGAAAAGTATATTAAAAGAGGCAGAAACATTAGTTAAGAAGTGGCAAGACTTAAGATTGAAGGCTAATGCCACACTGGCATTCATCTAGGTCAGGGGTGCCCAGACATGTTCCCTGAGAGGGCCAAATTTAAAATCTATCAGAGGGCCGCGGGCCAAATGCAATAATATAATACATGAAATGCAAATACTTCTTTAAGTAAAGTCCATTTATTTATCATACAGTTATTTAACCTTAAATTCTGTATAAAGAACA